CACCCCACCCCACTGTCCTCTTGACGAGGTCATGCTCACTTCAAACGTGCAGGTTTGGCTACTCGAAGTCAACGGAGCTCCAGCAGCAGCTGATCGTCTTAAGGTCAAGATAGCCCAGGACCTCATCGACCTTTGTAAGACACAAGGAACCTTACTTGGCCACAATTTAACGACTCCTCCTACTACTACTCTTATTCCTCCTCCTTCTCTCCCTCCTTCTCTCCCTCCTCCTCCTCCTCCTCCTCTTTCTGTCTCGATCTTCCCCCTTCTTCTTTTCCCTTCCTCCTCCTGCAGGTATCGATTCACGATTCTCCCCCGAATCCGAAGAATACAATGACTTCAGGCTGATTGCACCGATCGAGGTAATTATTCGACAAGCTTTCCCGTCTCCTCCCCTGCCCTCGCCCTGTCCGGGCTCTCGCCTCTGCGCTCTGCGTCTCTCCCTCCCTCCTCTGTCCGTCCCCTGCCATCGTCCGCTCCTCTCACTTGACGTCCTGCAGGCGCTGGGAGAAGAGTAGCAGGTGAGACGAGTGAAAGTCTCTGAGGAATCAGACGAGGAAGGAACCGATGACGTCATCGACTGATCGAGAAGCTGACGCTCTGTCGCGGGAGATCACCCGCGCCATGTCCCTCCTCCTGCCCCCCCCCCTTGCGGCCCTGAGAGGCTCCAGGCAAGAGGACGCTCGATGACACTGATCGAGGATGAAGCGAACAGCCAGGCCCTCGTTGAAACTGACAAGACGAGCAGAAAGTGAGCGAGACATACATGTATACATGCATGGACCAACGGCCAGACAGAAAACAAAAGGGATCATACAAACAGAGAGATATCAGGTGGTACAGACTTGCATGTCAGGAATCACGTAGGTAATAATCGTGCTGACCTGCTCAACGGACGTTGGAGGAGCGCGAGGGGGTTGAAGTTGCCCTTCCCTTGCGAGAGAGTCTGCAGCGACGCGAGAAAGTCGAAGACGTCCTCTCCCTGGAGAACCGCCAGCCGAGCAAAGGGCAGCGCTTCCCTCACCTGGCTCATCGTTCGCTGCTGGCTGAACTCCCTGCTGTGCGGCTGCTGGGAGTCATGGAAGGGGACAGGGAGGACCAGCTGCCATGCTGAGGGGAGCCCGCCATTGAATAGAAGATTCCTCTTGATCTCAAACCCCTCCACGTCTTGCGGCACCTCCAGAGTTATCTGGACGGAGAGTGTGACTTGGTATCCTCCTCCTCCTCCTCCTCCTCCTCCTCCTCCTCCTCCTCCTCCTCCTCCTCCTTCCCCTCCCTCCTCCTCCTCCTCCTCCTCCTCCTCCTCCCTCCTCCTTCTCCCTCCTCCTCCTCCTCCTCCTCCATTTTTCTTCCTCCTCCTCCTCCTCTTGGCATACCCACCTCGGTCTCCTGAGCTTGCCATCCTCCCTCGAGCACGAATCCAAACGACCTGCAGCATTCTCATGGGTCCAGCACCGACTTCATGTCCCAGGCAAGAGCTCACAGCAGCAGTTGCTCATTGGAGGAGGAGCCGTAGTTGATGTGCACCTCCTAAACAAGTTTCATCTCTCCTCCTCTTACATTCCACCGCAAGTGCCCATGCAGACCTGGCCGGCCTTGTAGTTCTCCGAGGCAAACAAGTTCACGTTGCCAGCAGCATCGCAGTCAATGGAGAAAGAGGCGTCCTGAAAGTCACATTCAAACCATCTTCCTTCACCCTCTTGCTGATCGTAGTCATCATCATCGTTGTTGCGATTTCATCATCTCCATCCTCTTTCTCATCGTGACCTCCGCTTCCATCCCTTCATCGACATCTCCACTAACGCCATGACCACAAGTCCTACCAGTCCTTCGCTCTCACCGGTGAGTGATTCACCATGTCGCAGAGCGGAACCAGCAGCAGGTTTTGTTCGCCTTGACGTCTTGCCGTCTCCTGCCCCTCGTCAAGGTCGAACGCTCTGGACATGATGGTTGCTTGCGCCCACTTGTAACTTCCATACAATCAGCTGAATCCCTTCAAACCAACTCACTTCACCTTTCAAGAGAAAACTCCCCAAACTCTGCACAATCCTGGAATCTACCCAGAACCTCCTGGTACGACTAGTCAGACAGGACATGTCGACTGCCGGCTGACCTTGATGGTATGATGCTCCCGCTCGATCTGTGAGGTGATGCTCATCGAGTCCTTGAGGATCTTCCCGGACAGAAGGTCCTGCTGCTCTTCGACAGACCATAGCCACGTCATCTCCTGTGCCCGGTCCAACCAAAGTCACCCAAGGCAGGAGGAGGATCGGGCGGAGCAGCAGGAGGAGTGAAGGACGGAGCAGTAGGAGCGGGGAGGAGCAGCAGGGAGGAGGAGAACGAGGACGGAGCAGCAGGGAGGATGATGGGGACGGAACAGCAGCGTACATAGTCATGATACTCCGGCAGCAGGTCGATGTACGGTTTGAACTCTGACTCCCCTCCGAGGTTCCGATGCAGCAGAAGCTGCAGCGCCAACGCCGCGTTCCCTGATCTCCTCCTCTCCCACGACATGGCAGAGAGCACCTCAGAGCACGTCAGCCGCAAGCGCATGGCCAAGGAGGATATACACCTGGTCTGTCTGCCTGATGAAGCTCAGGAAGGAAGGCCTTGCTTGCAAGGAGCTGCTCTCAAGCTTGTTGCTCATGAACTCCAGCGCTGGGAGCGACAAGAGCAGGTCTCCCGCCTTGACGTCCTCGCGGCAGAACAACCCCAGACCACCTAGCAAGCAGTAGCGCGAGTGAGCAGAAGCATGTGGAAGTCACGAGCTGTGCTGGCCCTACTCACATGACTCCGTGCTCTCGAGGCAGACTTTGCTCTCTTCTCGTATGATCCCCTTGCCTTTCAACCATCCCTCGAACGCCTTGATCAGTCCGCTCCTCCTCCCGTCATGGCTGCTCTCTAGCAATCTCGTGCCTGCATGCAACCGGCTCCTCCCTACTCTCCTCGCCGGGTCTTCTCTACCTTGCATGTCGCACCGACGAGGACTCGCGACTGGGCTTAAACTTTGAATCCACAGCATGGCGCCTGACCTTGGCATGCTGTCCACCATCGTCGCCGCACTGTCTCCCCTCGGCATCGCCATCAGAGCCAGCAAGCACAGGCCCATGGCGCGACCGACCATCGCGCCCATCATCCGCATCATCAAGCGCCTTCGCCTTCGACTTCCCCTGCAACCCCTGACGATCTGCGACCCTAAGGAAAGGTTCAAGTTCAAGTAGTGAACTTCGGAACCCGTGACGCGCCGGCGTCCGATCGGACCGAGTCGCGCCCGGCCTCCCGGCCGGCCCGGCCTCCGAGCAGGCTGAGCGGCGGCGGCCGCGTGCCGCCGGCCTGGGCCGCCCCGGGCGCCGGGCGTGAGCCGGGCCCGGGGGGGTCACCGGGCCCGGCGGGCCCGGTAGTATCACTGCATAGCAGTTACATATCACCGACAGTAAGTTCAACCCAGCCTGTCCGACCACAAGTTTCCAAGTTCGGCGAGTACGGAATTTGGCGCGGCAGCCTAACCGGCGGTGCGTGCGAGCCCCGGGCCCGCTCAGTGGACCACCGTGCCGTGACTCCGGCGGGGATCGGACACCCCGGGTTCGGACCGCCGGCCACGCCGTTACAGTATCGGCGGTACGGTACGGGCCCGGTATACACGGCTGCCAAGCGGCCCGGTCGGACTTCACTGAGTTGCAAGTTGCCAAGACGGTACGGTGATCTCAGTTCGCGGCGGGGGTGCGGCCACTGCCGAGGCCAAACCGCCGCCGCACCGTCGTACCGTCACTGTGACCGTCACCCGCCGGGGCCCGCGCCGTTTCCGAAGTCAAGTTCCGACGCCGAGTCATCCGATGATCACAGGCCCAAACGGCGACTCCCGCCACTGACCTTCAAGTTGGGGCTCCGTCACCTAGTACCGTACATTCTGAAGTTCCGCCGCCCGAGCACCGTGACTGCCGCCGCTGAGACTGGCAGTTCCGACCGCCGCGCCGCGCACACGGCACCACTGGTGACCGATCTCCGATCGGACCGTACGCCTCAGCCTCGGCCGGGCGGCGTACTACCGGGTACGGTACGGTAGCCGGGAGCCTGGCGCGGGGCCCGATCGGACGACAATCCTTTACTCGGCAAAGTCCGATGGTGCTCAGCCGCTTGCCGCAGTGCCGGCGAACCGGTTTTTTTTTTTCACGGTTTCCTAGCTCGAAAAAATTCCAAGTTCAAAATTAAACCAAGAGCTCCTTTGACAATTTAAAACAGAAGACTGAAAGTCTGCTGGAATTTGGAACCCCTCGGCAAACTTGAAACAAGAATAGCCTGACTCCCAGCGTGCGATCGGCGACGATGGCAACGAGGAGCTGGAAAGCGTTTGTGGAGGAGATGGAGAAGGAGAAGAGGAGCGGAACTGAGATCGAAGAGACGCTCAGGGTCAGGTTGCAAGACATCGGCGACAAGGAAAGCTGGGAGGCGCTCTCGCAGGCTCGCAAGAATGAACTGATGACTACATACAAAGAGATGTCGCAGGCAGGAGCTTTCAAAGCGACGATCAAGGTCATGGGTCAGTGCATCTCCGATGTGAAAGTGCAAGAGATGGCCATCAGGCTGCTTCGACATGGTTCGCGACAGCCGGCAAACTGTGAGGAGATCGGGAATGCAGGAGGGATACAAGCTGTAGTGAACGGAATGACAAAGCATGAGAGTCAGGTTCAAATCCAAGAAATAGGGTGCTGTGCATTGTGGAGCCTGTCTTGTAACAATACCAAGAACAACAAGAGGCTGAGAGAGGCTGGTGGGATCGAAGCTTCGGTGAAAGCGATGGCAAATAATGGTGAACACCTGGGAATTCAGTTACAAGGGTTGCAACTACTCAGCAGCATTTCATACAACAACAAGCAAAACAGCAAGAAGGTTGGGGAAGTGGGAGGGATTGTGGTAATTGTGAAAGGAATGATCAAGCACCAAGATCATGCAGGGGTGCAAGAATCCGGTTGCTGCGTACTGGGCCACCTGTTGGAACACGAACCGAACAGCAACAAGATCCGGGAGGCAGGAGGAATAGAAGCCATGGTAAAAGGCATGAGCAAGCATGAGGGAAATCGTGACGTGCAGTATGAAGGATGCTGTACATTACGGGACTTGTCAGGAAGAGATCTCCAAACAAAGCAGAAGATAAGAGCGGCTGGGGGGATCGAGGCGTTCGTCAAGAGTATGACGAAGCACTCCAATGATCATGATATACAGGAAGAGTGTTTCTGGGCATTGCGCAATCTTTTGGAAGACGATGATGAATGCAAGAAGAAGATGAGGGAGTCAGGAGGCATCGAGGCGGTTGTACGGGGGATGTCGAACAATTTGGAGGATGAAGAAATCCAGGAGAACGGATGTCGCCTGATGCGCATTCTGTCAGATCGCAACAATCAGAACAGCAAGAGGATCAGAGAGGCAGGAGGCATCGAGGCGATTGTGAAGGCCATGTGCAAGCACTTGGATGAGTCTGATGTACAGGAGCAGGCAGCGCATGCCCTCGGTAACCTTGCTTTTGACAACGACAACAAAGAGAAGATCAGGACGGCAGGAGGGATCGAAGCAGTGGTAAGAGGGATGAGGAGGCACGGAAAGGATGAAGATGTACAGAAGGAAGGATTCTGGGCATTGAGGAACCTGTCGTACAACAACGAGGAGAACAAGAAAAGGATCAAGACAGCAGGAGCAGTGAAGGCGGTGGAACAAGCCATGAAAGAGCATGAGGACCTGAAGAGGAAGGGTGAGAAGATCCTCGACATTCTCAGATCCGTCAGCAGCACGAGTGAAGCGAGCGTCAAATCTTCTCCCTTTGAGCAGCTATGTCCCCTTTCCTCAGACGACAGGGATAAATCTGAAAGCTCGTTGAGTTCTGATGAAAATGTTCATGACTCACACGGAGAAAAAAGTGATACTCGTCCGGAAGAGAAGGCAGAAGTCAACCCAAAAGACAACTTCAAGCGCTTCTGCAAGCTCTTGCTTGAATTCGGAAGAGAGGTCTTGACAAAGGTGCTGCAGCAGAGCTACATGAAGTCTGGCGCAGGAGTATGGAGTGCCGAGTCTGGCTCGGAGATTGCAAGGGAGATGGACGACTTCACTCAGCGAAGACTTGGGAAAGCTCTGATCAAAGATCTCTTGACCAGACCAGTTGAGGACTGGGACGCTTCACTCTTGACGTTTCTTCTGGTTGTCAAACCTGGCTATGTTGATGAGATTCATTGTTGTAAGGATGCGATTGAAAACCTGAGCAGAGAGCGACGTGAACTCGCACATTCGAGTTTCCTGCAACTCAAAGAAATCGATGCGGAGGAGTTCGAATCAAGATGGCAGTCTGTGAGACGCTCCTTGCAGCTCTTGATCGATGAGTTTCTTGAGGCTGAGAGAGATGCCTTGATTGAACAAATAAGAACCATCGGCCAAGATGTCCCCTTGGACTCCAACGTCGATGATCTGTTGGTATCCATGGAAGCCGTGCATAACCAGTTCAGAGAAGTTGCCAATCAATTCCATGAAATCAAGACAAAGGCGGAGAATGCAGCGACAATGTCTGAGGTCGCCAACATCGTGAGGGACTGTATAATACAAATGGTTAGTATCAGCGACCTTGACAATCTGCCGCAAAGAGTGAAGCTGAGCAACGGAGAGACTTACTTGATTCAATCCAAGGCAGGCTCAGGTGGGATGGGCACAGTGTTTGAAGCGCTCAAAGAAGGCATGGTGGCAAATGACAAGTACGCATTGAAGATCTGCGAACAAGTGTCAGATGTGAATCGAAACGACCGTGAGGCAATAATCCTTGAAAAACTTTTGGCTGTCAATCATCCCAACGTCGTTCGGTTCTTTGGCAGCCACTACCTCGATCACCACCTAGTCCTCCTCATGGAGTTCGTGGAAGGAAAATCATTGGATGAATGGCTGGACGGGCGGGGAGAGGTAACTCTCAAGAATCGAAGAATATGATGCTACAGCTAGCACAGGGCATGTCTGCTGTGCACAGCCTCAACATCGCTCATCGAGACCTCAAACCCAAGAACATCATGATCGACGATGTCACCGGCAACGTCGTCATCGTTGACTTCGGACTCTCCAAACAACTGGACGCCAACATGACCGTCACCTCGACCAAGAGCGTCATCGGCACGGTGATGTACATGAGTCCCGAGCAGCTCGAGGGCCACACGAGCTCCATAGGCCTCCGGAGTGACGTGTGGGCGATGGGAGTGATCTGCTATGAGATCATAGCGGGAGTGACTCCCTTCCAACCCGCGTCGCACGATGGGTCAGCAAACTCCTCCCGACGGCGGTCCAGCAGCATGATTCAGAGCAAAGCCGACGAGACCAGGATGCTTCACGCTATCCTCAACAAGTCCGTCTCGGAGCTGCCGCTGGACCTCGCGCCAGCAGCTTTTCAGCGCGTGATCCAAAGGGCCATGGAGAAGGACCAAGAGCGACGGCAACCGAGCGCGAAAGAGTTTCATGACGAGCTCGCCGTTGCGTTCGCTGAGATCGAACTGGCGTCGAGTATGACTGGGCCCAGCAGAGGGGCAGCAGGCAAGAGGGTCGAACAACTCTCAGTGCAGGAAGTGTGCGAGATCTTTCGCAGCTGCTCCTTCTTCGAAGCAGCTGAGGCTGTGCTAGCCAACGGGGTGGACGGGAAGACTTTTCTGTCTCTGGACGACGTCGACCTCAAGAGCAGCATCAAGGACGGCGGTCTAGGGTTGAAACCGCTGCAAGTCAAGAGGATCAAGAAAGAAATGGATGCCTTGCTAGCCCCTGGCAGCGCATCTGCACCTCCTTGACTCCCCAACGATTCCCGTCAGTCGCTCGAGCGCCACAGGCGGGCATGTGTGACCCTGGAAGGCTACAACGCGGCCCCTCGGGCCTAGTGACTGACTACTATGAGCCTTTGACTTGCCCGAGTAAATGACTGAAAGAAAACCTGACGACTTTGACTCTAACTTGCCATCGGCCCGATCCTGGTGCCGAGAGCGGGTCACATGTTCCCTGACCGACTGAGTTGGGTCCGTCAGTGAAACCTGAATTGACAGTTGGTATCCGCAAACTGGTGAAGGAAAGGTGAGAGCTACGATATGGCATGACCCGCATGTGTGTAGCATGAACACAAGACAACACCGGACCTCATTGTTCCTCAGAAATCATTTTCAAACACAGGCTTAAAATGCCGCAAACTCGATGGTACCGTAGCTATACATCTCATGACAAACAGGAGAAAAGAAGGAGAAAAGACATGCATCTGATGTCGCAAAGAAAGGCGTCATCAGTGTGAGAAGTGTCTTGAAGGCAAACTGAATGCCAAAGCTGATGCCGAAGCTAATAAACAATCATTGTTGGTCAACAAACACAACAGAGGCCGTCAATCCTGCTTAATACACATGCCAAGGATCAGAAAAACTCCGAATCATAGGAGAGAATTTACCTCCATCATGTCTTTGTCTATCAGATTCTCCTAAGTTTGCAGATGCGGGGATCTGTCATGTCAAACTCAGCATGGATCATTGTACAATGTCAAGAGAAAATACATCACCTCCCACTCGTCGTCGTCAAACTCCTCTTGGGGTCTATCATCCTGCGCAAACACATCATCCCTGCCCTCGTTCGTCTCGGAACGCTGGCTCGATTTTCCATTCATCGCTGTGTGGTCTGTGTCCTGTCAGAGAGCAAAGCTTCAGTTTGTGTTCACTGCAACATGCACGGTCATCGATACATCTCTTTTGGCTGTACCAAAGCTCTTCCGGCGTGCTACAAGGAACGACAGCACTCCAACACCAGCAGCAACTATCATTGACCAGAGTCCCAGCTGTCGCCATTGCTCGTCTGCAAACCCATCCACATGTCAGTAGCCTCTCCACTACACGTTGGTTCGCTTCTACTAGCCTAAGGAGGACAGCAAGAAGGAACGCGCACGGGCAAAGGTCCTCACCATGGCTGGGAGGAGGAAAGATCATGGGGAATCCTGCTGATAGCCATGCCCGGAGCTGATGAGTCTCCATACCAAGACGCCGCCCTCCAACCATCGTCATCCTTCCTAGCCGTGAAATGGGAGAAAGTGGCAGGGGGTCAGGGGTAGGTTACAGGTTAATTTGGGGTAGGGGTGGTTTTTGCTGGCTGTTGCAATAGCAAATGACGGGTACTTTCACGGAGAGGAGGTAGGGTAGGGTGCTGTCAATGGGGTAGTGGAGGCTTGAAAGCGAAAGTAGTAACGAACTTGTGATTTGGGAAGCAAACAAGTTCGAGTTGAGCCCTGACGTCATGTGAGAACATACAATGAGATGAGGTGAGATGACTTCGAAGAGAAGTGCGCAAGTGTTTCAATGTCAAGTTATTTACTTCCATCGAAGATGAGCTAATGATACAGATTAGGGAATGCTTGCGATTCCCAAGTACAAGTACAGGAAAAACTTGGAAAAAAACCAAAATCAATCAACGAATAACAATCCAGCATGCAAATCCCGTCAGACTGGATTTTGATCCATCAAACGAATTCTTTTTAGCACTTCAGGTTCGTCCCAGTTATGTCCAGAGGATTGACGCTTGGTAGGAGCAGCTGACTTCGGCGACAGATCCGAACCGTCGCAAGCGCAGAGACAAAGTTTGCTACTTCGAAATTCTTCCACATCGACATCGCATTTGAGACATTCCCTGCATCGAGCCGTATGTGAAGGAGAAACGAATTTCACATGCTTCGTTGAGCGCAATGCTTTGACTGCAAGCGGCCTGCAGCGGCCTTCTGGTTTTCTTTCTGTATTCTGAAGCTGCATCGAGCTCATCGAAATCATCACGTCATCAATTCCACCATCTGAGCAGGATAGAAAGCTATGATCCAAAAGCTCTCCCACTGAAGGACGTTCCGATGGATCAGGATGGAGGCAGTCCATGAGAAAGTCAATACAATCCAGTGACAACCCAGCGGGAAGAATCGGAAGTTCTCCATCGTCTGCCAGCAATGATCTCGGTGTGTCAATGCAGCGATGACAGGTCTTTCCCATCAGCAGCTGCAACATTGTGTATCCCACTTGCCATACATCATCTCTCGTGCTCCACACGTGATCTTCATCGTCGCTTCCTGGGGGACGGCAGACACAGCGACGGTGGGATGGATGGCACTCCCCGGGATCGCAAAGGTGCAGGTTTGCGCTCTCGTCGCAATCGGCCTCAATCCAAAGAGTGTGAGGGCCAATCTGCTTGTGACACTGCTGCCTCGCGTGAAGGGGTTGCAGAAGTAGCAGCAGGGACTGGGTCAAAATTGCAACCTCCGGGTGTGTAAATGGGCTGCCATCAACCAGTTCATCCAGAAACAGGCGATCTTTCATCTTGATTTGCCTTGGATGCCTCAAAAAAAATCAACCAGAGAAAAGCCCTCCGTAAATGTAGTCGAAGCTAACAGAACTCCTCAAAACGACAGTCAGTCTCGGTTCAACCTTGGGAATTCCTTTGATGCCAATATTCAACAGGGTAAAGTTATCACAGGTGTTCAATCCTCAGCCTTGACAACAGTCGTGGTTGAGCATACGAACAAATTCTGAAAACCTCACAAAGATCCGAACTCGTGCGTTTTCCTGGGATCGGGGAAGCATACAAAGAACTAAGGCCAGGGGCTGCTGAGAAGAGGAGATTATTCGGGATGGAAGAGAAAGAGATGAAAGCTGGAGCAAGGGTAGGCGGGGTTCCTGCACGAAACCACCCAAGCAGAAGGGGACGGGAAGGAAGGGAGGAGGAGGCTGAGGGGCGGGAAGCTACCAGGAAGGGAATATAAAGGGTGGGAACTTAGGGGGTGGGGTGGATCAACAAAAATCTTATGGAGATTATGGGGGTAGGGTTCTTTTTTAGTCCTGGTGGGTAGTATTTGAACCGGTACTAAATTAGTTTGAAATGGGGGTAGTGGGAATGGGGTAAACTCCAGTTGAAGGGGTTCAGGTACAAAGCCCTGCTAAAGTTGAAAAAGGAAGGGACTTAAGGGAAAGGGGTGGGGTAGCCTTGAGTGGCGGGATGGGGTGGAAAGGGGTACACGCTGCAGTCCGGTCAAACCACGATGGAAGTTTTTCTTCGAGTTTGCGGAGAACCCATATATTGGGGGTGGGGTCCGATCTTTGGAGGGGGTGGGGGGTCAAAGCTCCTGTCGACAAAAGTCGAAGATACGGGTTCTTCATATAATAAATCTTATATGTACACAGGGGTACATGAAGACTTTATTGGGGTAAGGGTGTTTAATTGAGGAAGTCGAGGGTAGGGTGCATTGGAGGTAGGGTATTGAGACGTGCTGTCCGACGGGATGCAAAGGGGGTGGGGTGGAGATTCCATACACGTGTGACCAAAAAAACAGACCCAACTCTCGAATGGATGACGAATGAAAATCTGAAAGGCTCAAGGTAGGTAAAAGTCTAATAGAGACAAAGGATATTTTCCATATGAACCTATGTCATGCAGTAGAGAAAGAGGGATACAGACGAAAGGTGGTAGTGTGCTCAAGAAGCCATTCCATTCGTTTCGTTTTACTGCTTTTTTAGGGGGGTGGGGGTCCGGTCGTCCACGAGCAGGTGGGGTTTGGGGGTGGAGATGGAGGAGCAGGAGCAGACGATCAGATCCCCCACCCCCACCCCGCAACCGGCAGGATCCGTGACTACCCACCATATACTTTATGGTTATTTTACACAGAGATGTACCGGTAGTCTAAGATTGTTACCTTTACCCTGCAGGTAACCCTCGAACGGAACCGTTGCTGGAGGTACAGGACGGTAGCCTCTTTTAAAATTGTTTTTATAGCCTCGGGAAATTTATCAAAAATTCAAAAAATTGGATAGGATATCAGGGGGTGGGTGAAAAAGTACCCCTTGTAGATACCTCGAACTACCACCTTTTGATCAGGCACAATTAGTTGCAGGAGCTCTTTGAGGGTAGGGGTGCATTGTAGTAAAATGGTTCTGAGAACTTTATATGGTCGTTTGTAAACGACCATCCACTAGGGTGGGTAGTCTCAAAAAGGAAATACATGGGTAGGGTACATCGGAATCCAATGAAAAGCAAAGAAATGGACTGGAAATTTGTGGGTGGGGGTACAAAAGTAGCATAAAGGGTAGGGGGTCACTTAATGAATTTAGGTAGGGGTTGACCCCTTGGCCTCCGGGTTAAAGGTCTCCAAAAGGAGAGTTTTCGAAAAGCAAATGCGAACTGTACGAACAGGGGCAGGGGAATGGGCAGCTGCGTGAGAAGGAGGAGGAGGGGGAGGGGGAGAAGGAGAAGCTTGTATACTACCTTAGCAAAGATAACTGCCATCACCGTAATGTACCTGCAACATCCTGGTGTTTTAATGTGTTGGCAACCTTGTTTGCCTACATTGTCGGGTGACTTGATTTCGAGAAGCAAGAAGTTGTAGATGTGTGCACTGAATTACCAGGAAACTATCTGTTGCGGAAAGAGAGCATCATGGCTGAGCTCAGTCAGCTCAGTCAGCTCAGTCAGCTCAGTCAGCTCAATTAGCTCAATTGACTCAATTAGAATTATCCAGAGACGAGAAACGTGAAGGACGCGGAGAAGGCAGCTTCATGACTGTGTTTCGTGGTGATGTTGATCTGATGAACGTAGCATTGCCTTCAGCGTTATCTTCAGAAACGCATTGAGCAAATGAGAAAGCGTTTTAGTTCTAAGTGTGAAATCTTTTGTCAATGAGAGCCTCGTCAGGGTGTCGTTAGGTTTAGATCCTTTTATTGTGCGATTTCCCTGACTCAATGCAAGTGCGAGGAGGTATCAGAGATAGTGCAGTCGAATCTCGGATTCTTGTGACAATTTCGCACGAGTTTTGAGCTTCATGTTGTGCTCTGCTAGTTTGTGCGATGAAATTCAAAGGGCCGACACGACTGCAATAAACAAAACCACTTTGAAAACCTTCTTCCTTGAACTAAGTCACTGTGAAGCCCATTCTCGATTCAAAGCTCAAGGCTTGTTTCGAACCCTCATCGTCTTCCTCTACAGATGATGTTGCGACGCAATCGTTGCTTGACATGCTATCATCATTCTGATGCCTTCGAATTGAAACACATCATAGCCTACACCATTGCTCTGATCGCATCATATGTCCGTTGTTAACTCTTTCCTCTGTAATCTACACTGTATAATCGCAGAATTCAGGATCTGTTGGCCATAGTAGGAATAGCAGTTGCAGCAAGTGCTTGTTTACCAAGCACCAGCTTTCAATGCAGCACAGGGTTCCAAGGGGGAAGGGGTTCTCCTTGTCTTGTGCAGCGAATGTCGCAACGTCCATGTTAACCAACGAATTGAACTTGAGAAATACATGAAAGGATAACGATGAGATGTGGTACGTTGGGAAGTAGAAATTCTCAAAAGATTGGCCGCTCTTGCAAAAAATCAAGCCGCTTGCCCAGTTTCTCGACGCAGATCATTTGTTTCTAGCTGATTTCGGCATCACTGTGTAATGCAGGATAAAAAGAATAAACGGAGAACGTCTGCTGAATCAACACCAAGCATGTCGTTTCATGAGCAGTTTATGACATCACTCACACGAATATACATTTCCTTGCGTGTTTGGCGAGAGATCGCATTGCTCTACCAAATGATAGCAAGTTTGCATGCTTGATTTTGATGGAGCAGCACTTGATTTGTTTCATGCGTATGATCCTGAATGTGAGACCTTGCGTGATCGGTGAGAGATCGCGTTGCTATACCAAATGATAGCAAGTTTGCATCCTTGATTTTGATGGAGCAGCACTTGATTTGTCCTCTCCATCATGGCAGTGAAACAACTGAAGCAGCCTACCAAGAAACGAAGAATCTTCTGTACATGTCATCTGACAATCAACCAACTTCCGTCAACTCCAATCAAGAAGTTCATTCATAGATTGGCCTCAAGTCCGACACACCGACGCGCTTTCGACACTTAGGACACCTAGAGGAAAGGTGAGCTTGAGAGAAGAAGCAGGTGAAGGAGACGTACTTCCGTCCACTGTGAACTTCTGATATCCATTTCCGAATGCACTTGTTACAGAATAGGTGCCCGCACTTAGTCGCAACCTTAGATTTGAACTTCTCCATACAGATCGGACACGAGTCTTTGTCAACAACAGGCCCGTCTGAAGCCCCTGCTGTCGACGCCTCTCGCTTAGCAGGGGAGGGCGGAACACTAGACTGCGATGATGTTGCTACGTTGGCTCTGACGTTGTCATCGCTGGTAAGATCGACAACTTGAGAACTTCCAAGCTCCATCGGTAATGCATCGATGTCTATCAATCCTCGTTTCCTCTTTCTTCTCACGCGTCTTGATAGATCTCGGGCATTGCGCTGTCGAATGAATCAGTGCTGCTTCCACTGAAGCTGATCCCTACCGTATCATCCGTCGCTTCCACGCATACATCGTCGTCTTCCACAATAACGATGGTCTGCTGCAGGCTTGTCATCGAAGCGTCGGCGTTTGTAAACGAAGTACTTGTTCTTTCGGTCGGATGCTTGACGGTTGTTCTAGACCTCTGGATAATACTTCTCCTTCAGCAAAAATCTCCATTGGCTTCTTCGAATCTAACAAACAACTAAGACGAGAAAGATGCAGAGAAGAAAAGAAAAAAAATCTCAAAGCATGGTGAGGAAGACACAGAGTTTGAAGGGCATAAAGTGGGATGAACGGACAACAAAGGAGAAACGCAACTGAAATCAGGACAAGGCAGGAGGCAGGAGGCAGGTGAGACAGGAGGCAGGAGGCAGGAGGCAGGAGGCGAAAAGTAACCGAGCAGCTTGAAAGCAAGGAGCAGCGAACATGTGAGGATCGAGGCCGAAGCAGAGACCAGAACATGCCAAGAAGAAGCAAGGAGGAAAAGGATGATGATGAGGAGGAGGAGACAGTGGTGACGGTGGAGGCGATGAAGGCAGCAAGGGAGGCGCAGCTGAGTTCGTGGGTACGGTGACTGTAAGGGAAGGGATAAAATTCGCACTGGTGGAGGAGGATGCGGGAAGGGTTGGCGATCACAAGGGATATGCTGGGGTGGTGTCAATTCTTAAGGGGTGGTGATACTATCTAATGGGGTTCAGGGTAGCTATTTCCTAGTTATTTTGCTGGGAAATAGTGGGTAGGGTACAGTCTACCGGGGGTAATGTAATCTGAGGCTAGTACCGACTCGTGAGAGGTCGGTGATTGGCAATAGTTCGTGGTTCGATTTAGGGGGTAGGGTGGGGCAGAATTGAGTTGTACATAACCCGATCAGTAGGGGTGCGAGACAGAAAAATCGGAAATGGGTAGGTGGGGTTAATAAAGTAGGGGTATCATTTTGCGTAATTTGTTCAGAATAATGGGGGTACTTAGAAACATGAGGAGCTAGTGGAGGGTTTTCCTGGTGGGGTGCAACTCTGTGCTACCCGACTTACCCCTACCCCTACTACAACTACCTCTAACATTCCAGTACCCCTCCAATGAAGGGACAAAACGACCCCTTCTTTACCTATCAGCTCTTTCTATCTCAATTTTTGAGCCCACATCTCCCCTACGACCCAACCGTCACCACCCGGCCGCGCGGCCGCGCCACTGCTCCGGCCTGAGGCCTGAGCGCGGCCAGTGGCCGTGGCAAGCCCGGCCCAGTGCTATCTCAGTGCCTAGCTCCCGGCCGGGCGGCGGCCGATGACCCGGGGGCGCCGGACGGACCGGACCGGGCCTCCGAGTTGTCACGGAATCGTCTGGCGATCGCAGTGATCGCCGCCCCGGCGGCCGCGGGCCCCCGGACGCTTACTGAGGATGTCAATAGAACACTGACAACATTTTATACTGGGCTAAAAACATGAACTTGTGCTAACTATTTACACTGAGCCTCCGGCGGTGACCGTCACAGAAATGATCCGGGCCGATCATCCTTCGCTCGGACGCCGGCGTTACTCTGTCACTGACAGCGGCCGCGCCTGAGTGGCTCGGGCCAGCAGCCTCTAGTTGAGGCTTCCGTTCACAGATCGTCTTCCTCGTCCTCTGGGTGGGAGCTGCTCTTGAACTGCGGCTGCTTGGAGCTGTCTTCATCCTCGCCGATATCCATGACTTGCCATATCATGATTGAGAGGTCGTCTCCTCCGACAGACACCAGATACCTCCCAGAGTTCGTGAAGCGCACGGCCGTCACTGGGGATGAGTGAAGCGCCTCCAGGACCTCGTAAGAGTTGGCGGAGGAGAGAATGTCCTCGGGGTACGGGTACGGGTACACGCTGACCCTCCCGGACTTGTCACTGACGGCAACGAGCGCAAGAGCCTTGTCTCTGTCTATCACATACCGATCGACCGACGTCACCCGGCCGGCTAGGTGGCTGAGACCTGCCATGGGCCAGCCGAGGAGGCTGGTGAACGAGGCCCACCGCTTGCTGTAGAGTTTGATCGGGATGTCGACGTGACGGAACTGCTGTACACCTCCTGTTGGTCGGCTGCTCCTGAGCCTCATGTCCCAGAAGAAGAGCTCTCCTGTCTGGCTGCTAGTCGCCAGGTACTCCCCGTCCTCACTCCAGTCGATGCTGGCGGCAGCGCAAGTGTGGCCGTCGCACTGACCTACCACAGGGTACTTGCCGTCGGACAGGACCAGGCGGATCGAACCGTCTTGCAGCCCCACTGCCACGTACGTCCCCGAGGGGTCAAACTTGACGGCTGAAATGGCCGAGTCGAACTTGACATGCGCGACTCGCGTCAGCTGGACAAGCTCGGAGTCGAACCTCGCGATCAGCAGGCTCCCCGTCCTCATGCCAACAGCTACCTCGTCCCCTTGGATGTTCGAGATGGAGAAGTCAGCCTGCCGCTTCCCCGCCAGCGATCCCCGCCAGCACAGGCTTGTAATAGCCCCGTCCAGCCCCTCCTCCACCATCCTCACGCTCGTGGCGCAGAAGCACTGACGGGTCCCGATATCCCACAGCTTGATCACTCCATCATCGCCTCCGGTAGCGAACACATCGAAGCACGAGTGCGTGGACAGGGCGAGGATCGAAGAGCTCGAGTGCCCTTCAGTGACCGTCACCTTGGACTGCACCTCAAACGAGCTCTGATCGGCCGACAGGTCCAAGACCTCGTTCGCATGCGTCTTCAACAAGAAACGAATGACCTTGAGCTCGGCGTTGACAACCACGTCCATTCCAATCAGTTTGACATACGTTCCCAGGCGGTACCCCTTGACCCCCTGCATGATCCCGTTGACGTTTATCTCCTTCACCACCGAGTAGTCTTTGAGGAAGGACGAGGGCTCGTAAAGTTTGACCTTCCCATCCCAGGAGCAGCTGGCCAAGTGCTGCTTCAACTTCACCAGCTGCGTCACAGGGCCATCGTGGAGGTTGCGGAAGTACCTCCTCACGCACGAGTCCCCATGCTCCCGGCCCCTCCTCCTCTCCCACCGACACACTCCTCCGTCCTGCAGCCCGGTGATCCAGTTGTTGAACTTGTCCTGGCCCGTCGGCTCCAGCAGGCAGACGCTGAAGACCATCTGCCTTGTCACTTCCTTCCACAAGGACCGGGAGGGCACCAGCGACAGCCTCTGTCTCATCGTGCTCGGCTGCAGGATCGTTCGGTTCAGGACCGAGTGGACCCGCTCCTCCCTTGACAGCGAGTTGTCCTGCACTGCCCAGCAGCTCACGTGCTTGTCCCCTGCTGTGATCAGGAAGGGCACATCCCCGTCTGCCAGCCACGTCATGGAGAGGATGGACGTCGGGGGCCCGGGGGAGGCAGCGGCCAGGGACTTCGACTGGAGGTCCCATATGAAGATGGAGCGATCCAGGTCCGTTCCTATCCCGACGAGGTACTTGCTCTGGGGACAGAAGGCAAGCAGACTACACCCGCCGTCATGCTCCGCCTTGAGCTCTGCCTTGACCATGGCCGACGCCGCCTCCCACACCAGCACCTTGCCTGTGCGCGAGTCGTCGCTGGTGGCGAGAAGCTTGCGGTCCGCAGAGACAGCAGCCGCCTCCACCTGACCCTCGTGGCCATTGAGGAGGAGCTGCTTCTTCGACCTCTGGATCACCCCGACGTTGGCTGAGCTGTAAAACACTTCTCCCGCGCTCGTCACGTGCGCGCTGTTGCCCTTCCTCCTGCCCTTGACCCCCAGCACGTGCAGCGGCCGGATACCCTTCCTCTTGAGCTCGGTGATTCGAGCTGCTTTCTGCAGCTCCGACGGGTCGAAGTCGTCGAAGCCGCTGCTGTTGAAGCTCTTGGAGGTCAGGCCAGTGACGTTCCTGTCCTCTGGGAGCTCTGCCCCTACCTCCTCCACATCCCCTGGGTCCCCCAGGAGGACAGACGAGCCCTTGCTCTCGTGCTGCTGCATCAGGAAGCACTCCAGCTCTGCTGGGACCGGGACAACTTTGCGGAACCGGGCGATGGTGCGGGAGTTCCGGAAAGAGGCCAAGGCGAACTGACCATGAGCAGCGAACCTGATGCAGGAGGCGATCTCGTTGCTGCACTTGACGCTGCTGCACTTGCTGTGCTGCAGGCAGGGGAAGCGGTAGAGCTGGATCTCGCCGCCGGGGCCGGAAGCAACCAAGAGCTTGTTGTCGGGGGAAGCGTCGACGGCAGGAACGACCTCGTAGAGCTCGGGGTGGATTCCCGTCGCCGACCAGGAGAGGGAGCAGGAGGAGGAGGACCAAACTTCTTCCCTGAGAGGAGCGGCCGACCGGACCTCGAGGAAGGACCGGAGGTCCCAGTGCCTGAGCTCGAACCGCGTGCAGTTGCTGCGCATGTACGAGGGCTCAGACATGTCGGCGGAGGAGAAGTCGATGTTGAGGAGGATGCCGGAGTGACCCCTGAGCTTGGACCTCTTGGTAAACCTCTCGGTCTCGAAGCTCCACTCGAAGAGAAGGATGCTTCCTCTGCTGGTACCGACGGCCAGGTAGCACATGAGAACGTCTTCTCGCTCCCACCTGCGAAAGGATTAGCACGAGGGTGATGAGCGGTGAGGGAAAGGAGGAGGGAGACAGGGGGGGGAGGGGGAGGGAACCGAGGAGAGAGAGGAGGAAGGAGAGGAGGACAGGGAGAAGGAAGGAGTAGAAACTCACAGCTGCGAGAACTTGAGGGCGCTGACAACGTCCTTGCTCCCGATCCCTTCCCGCAACATCTCCACGTCATCACCGTCGCTGCTCTGGTCGAACATTTGAACTCCCCCCTTGAGCCCCACGACGACCCTCCATGTGTCCCTCGCGTCCTCCGGCTGCGGCATGTAGGCCAGGCTGAACACGCGCCCCTCGCTCTCCCTGCTCTCTAGGATGCTGACGCAGGTGTTGGCCGACGAGTCCCATACCCTCACGCGTCCTGCCGCGTCCCCGACGGCGTACTGGCTCTCGCTGCAGGGGTTAGCGGCGATGGCGCGGGCGGTGAGCGAGGTTTCAAAGCTCGAGGGATCGGAGGAGGAGAGGCCTCCGTTGAGGAACTGGACGGCAGGGAGGAAGGAGTCGGAGAGGTCGTAGGTGACGGACTTGTACACCTTTAGGCTGAGGCTGTCCTGGTAGAACTCGAGCACTTCCTCCTTGAGGTTGGAGATGAGCGACGGGAGGGTGAGAAGGAAGATGCCTGACTGCCTCGTCCCCACCGCCACCCTCCAGACCTCCTGGCTCATGTTGGTCGTCACGTGAGGGACCAGCCGCAGCTGGAGCGCATGGACCGCGAGGGACTCTGGATGAGCTGCTGTCGTCATCCCCCTTGTCACCGTCTCCATCGCGATCCCCTGGCCATTCGTCGCCTCCAGCTCCTCCGTGTCCTCGAAGATCCTCCAGGTCTTCACAACTCGGTCTGCCCCTCCGCTCACCACCACTGGGCCGCCTGCTCCTTGTGAAGAGCTGCTGAGGGAGAGCACCGGCCCTGAGTGCGCATGGTGGATACTGAGCAACTTGCTGTCCTTCCAGATGTACAGGTAGCCTTCCTCCGTCCCCGAGACGAGAAGGTCGCGCACAAACTCGAGCGAGTAGTGATTGGTGATGAGGCCCCTCGAGCACAAGTCTCCGTAGCTCTTCCTCAACCTCCCTCCCAGCATCGTCCAGAAGAGGATGTGCCGGTAGCCGCACGAGACAAACATGACCTCTCCCTGGTGCTGGTGCTGGTGCTGGTGCTGGTGCTGCTCCTGCTGATGATGATGATGATGGTTTTGGAACTTGGGGTTCGCCAACGAGCAGAAGGTTGGGTTCGGGTCCCCAGAGGCGCAAGCAACCAAGGAGGAAACCCTCCAGTCCCAGACTGCCACCTGCGTCTCGCCGCCCAGGACCACAAGGTATCGGCCGTTGGACGCGAAGCAGAGCGAGCTGACGTCCACCACTCGGTTACTGACATGTTGCCAGACATGCCTGACAGACTTGACTCTGCTCGACTCCACCTGTTTCACCTCCTCCTCCTCGCTGTCCCAGATGAACACCAAGGGGTCCGGCCCCGCCTGCCCCGTCGCAAAGAGCCTCTGGTCCGGATGCAGCGCCATGCTCAGTACCCTGTCTGTGTGTCCCCAGCAGAACCGTTGGGAGGAGGAGGACGAGTCGTGCACGATGGCGATGTTGGCGAGGGAGTAGACGACATGGAGGAGCCTGGTGACGAGCAGGTTGCTGCAGGACGCCTCAAAGTGACAGCCATGGATGTAGTCCAACTCAAGCTCCTCCTCCGGCGCCTGCCCAGGTTTGAACACAGCGTGCTTGCCTCCTGTCTGAGGAGGGAAGATGGCTGACATGAAGGGTTTGAACGTCAGGAGAGAATCCTCCTCTCCCTCCTCCTCCACTGCTGTCGCCCTTCCCATCCCTCCTGCCACCTCCCCCAACTCCATCGCTCCCTCCTCCGGCCCGTTGAACGAGTTGATGATCTGCCTCCTCCCTTGCTCTGAGACAAGTTGCGAGCTCGTCTCTGCTGGCAGCAGCTCCACCTTCCACTGCATGACACACCCGTCCCTAACCCCCGCTGACAGTACCCTCCTGTCATCATACGTGAAAGCCACATGCCCGCAGCCACCGGCATGCGCACGGTACGCCAGGCACCTGCCCCTATCGATGCTCGGGAAGCTCAAGACTCGCAGGTACCCGAAGGAGTCAGCGAGAGCGAGCAGGGAGCCGTTCCTTGACCTGTCAAGGTCCTGGATCTGACTGACCGCCTCGTACATCTTCCCGACATGTTGGGTGGACCAGGTGAGGGGGCAGGAGGTAGTCGCCCAGGAGGAGTCGGAGTACTCTGCCTTGGACCGGCAGGGCTCAATCAGACCTCTCCTCATCGCATCCACCCGCCAGTAGAGGAGGTTGTAACACCGGTCGTTGCTCCTGATCACGGACCCGTCCTCACTCCAGTCGAAGTTGATGACCTCGTCAGCATGCCCCTTGCACACACCCCACCTGGAGTACTGCTGGGCTACGACATAGATGTCAATAGTCTTGTCCTCTGTCGCCACGGCGAGGTAGGCGCCGTCGGGCGAGTACTTGAGCCTCCGGACCCCACAAGTTCGCTGCTCGAGCGAGAAGAGCATGGATAGGAGGAACCTTCCTGCTCCTGCTCCTGCTCCTGCTCCTGCTCCTGCTCCTGCTCCTGCTCCTGCTCCTGCTCCTGCTCCTGCTCCTGCACCTGCTCCTGCTCCTCCTGCCCCTCGCGCATACTGCACAATCTTCACTCCTCCCCTCCTCAGCCCCACTGCCAGGTGCTGCAAATCTCCCGGGTGGAACTCCAGCTCCTTGCAGTCATGCTGGAGGTCGATCTCGCCCATATGGGAGTGCCCTGACAGGTCCCACAGCCGGCAAGTCCCGTTCTCTCCTGCTGCTGCGAAGAAGGAGGAGTGAGGGTGGGCGGCGAGAGCGGCACAGCCCGAGGAGGAGGGGGAGGAGTTGACCTCCTGGAACGAGCCCACCACCATCTTGATCCTCTTTGCATCCTTCATGTCAAGTTCGAGCTCGTACAGCGCATGGCGATCGGTCCCGATCGCAACTCTCTGTCTTGTTCCTCCCCCTCCCACGGTAGCAAGGCACAGCAGCCTGCAGCTCGCTAGTGCAGGGAGCAGACGCCTGCACTCGACGAGGAAGACGGAGACGAGGCTCCTGTCCTTCAGAGTCCACATCTTCACAACCCCGTCCTCCCCTCCGCTCAAGAAATTCTCAGGTTGATCCTGGCAGACGCACAGTGAGCGTACAGCACCGTCGTGCGCCTTGCCGTCCAACCACAGCGACCTCTCCCTCCACACGAAGAGAGATCCGCTCTCTGACCCGCACACAGTGATGAAACTATCCTTTCCGTCCTCTCCACCCTCCTTCTCCTCCAGGAGCATGCTCTCTACACACAGCAGCGTCTGCTTCCCTCCCTTGCTCCCGAAGAGCCCCTTCCTACTTGACAAGGAGCAACTTGACCGCGACACGTTGAGTTTCCAGAAGCGAACGGTGTCAACCCCGACAGTTACGAAGTTTTGACCTGCCGGCGTCTCCTTCACGAAGCAGGTCAGCCCCCACAGCCTGTTGATGTCCCCGGCGCTCCTGCACAGCAGGCAGCCCTTGCTGACGTCCCACACGGCGACGCTGTGAAACTCGTCGGCAGCGACGGAGACGAGGTAGTCTTGGAGGAGGAAGGAGAGGCAAACAACGCCTTCCTCCTCCAGCCCCCGGAGGCACAGTTGCTCCCTCCCGTCCTCCACGTTCCATATCCTGATGCATGCGTGAAGCCCCTTCTCTGCTGTAGCCACCAGCACCGCCTCCTCCTTCTTGCATACGGCCATGCACGTCACCTCCCCGACGTGCCCTTGCAAGAAGCTCTGCGATCGGAAGCGCGTATCATGCAGCACAAGCATGGCCCCGACAGGGTAGAGGAGGCGACTGTTGTCGACGTAGACGAGGAGGGGGGGAGAGCGACCGAGAAATCCGTGCACACGCTCCAGCGTGAGCTTCGACTCGAACAAGCCGGGCAGGATGGAGGGCATGCGAGCTCGAGCCGTGTATCCTCCCTCTTCCCGCTCGATAAGGAGGGGGGGCAGGAAACCGAGAGAGACCGACCCGTGCTCCGTGCTCCAGTCGGAAGGAGGAGCGATCGTTCCCAGCCATGGCCGGATCCCCATGAACTCGTCCTCCTCTTCTCGAGGAGTCTGCAGGACAGTGGGAGGGGAGGAGAGGTAAGGGATGCCAGTGCTGGTCTTGTACACGACCCCGTCCTCGAAGTTCTTCCTCATCCGGTCGAAGAGGCGACGCGGCGTCGGCTCCTGGTCCCACCCCTCCTCGTGTGGGAGGAGGCAAACGAGCAGCTCGAGCTTCGGGCCCAACGCGTTGCAGAGGAGCAGCCTGGAGGGAGGGACGCCCAGCAGGCCGCACAGAGCATCCCGCAAGTTGGTCCAGAGCTTGAGGAGGAGGGACGAGGAGGAGGCGATACCTGAGGAGTCTTCGAAGCAGAGGCTGACGACCATTCCCTCGATCTCCTCCTCCATCCAGCTCCTCCTCTTGTCCTTGCGGTCCACCAAGGGCGGCGTCTTAGTCTCCTTCTCCGCCCTCTCCCTGTACTTCCACTCGATCACGCAGAGGTCTGAAGACCCGGCGGAGACAAGGGAGGAGTCGTTCCAGTTGCTCTTGGCGGCGCAAGGGACGGAGGAGTGGCCGAGGTAGGAGCGGAAGAGCGCCGGAGGACGAGCTGGGAACCTGTAGAGGCGGAGGCGATGGTCCGACCATGCCAGGAGCTCCTTGCCGTCTTTGGAGATGGAGGTGGAGGTGGAGACGAGGGAGAGAGAGTCGATCCTGCTGATCCCCTCGACCTCCCACCCGATCCCGCTGCTCCACTGGCTCCACCTCCTCCCGCCCACTCCGTCCACCTCCGAGACCGAGAGGAAGGGAGAGGCTGGTTTTGCCTCCGCACGCCAGTAGAGCAGCCGGTTGTCTGCTCCTTGCGTCTGCAGAACGTCTCCCTCCTCTGTGAAGTCGATAGCGAGCACGTGCCCTGTATGCGCCTTGACGGGCTTCCTCGCTGGATACAGGGAGCTGCTCTGATCGCTCTCAGTAAGAAAGACGGTGACCCTCCCGTTGCTGCTGCCTACGGCAAGGAAAGGCTTGCTCGGGCTGAAACGGATCACTGTGATGGGACTGGGAAGTGTGGAGAGCTTGACTGTGCTGTCGTCCTCGTTCTTCAGCAGTAAAGGCTCTGGTTCCCTGCACAACGTTAGGGAAGGAAAAGAGGAGGAGGAGGAAGATGAGGATGGGAAGGTGCAAAAGGAGGAGGTGGTGACATCTTCAAGTCTTACGAGCACATCCGTAAGCTATGGAGGAGGAGGAGGAGGAGGAGGAGGAGGAGGAGCAGCAGCAGCAGCAGCAGCAGCAGCAGCAGCAGCAGCAGCAGCAGCAGCAGCAGCAGCAATAGCGGAGCAAGGAGATGGAGAGAGAGAGGGGAAGGGAGAGTAGTAAGCGGTGCAGTTGTCACTGACCATATCATGTTTGGCATGTTGTCAAATTGGAGGGAGAAATCGAAGATCCAAACTTTCCCGTCCTCGAAGCCCACGGCAAGGTGCTCACCGTCCGGGCTGAAGGAGACGGCCGAGGGGGAAGGACCCTTCTCCTCCTGACTGAGCATGATGATGCGGGGGACGGACCTGCTGCCTCCTATCCTCCACACCCGAAGGGTCTTGTCCCCTCCGACAGTAGCAACGAGGTTCTTGGTCGGGTGGACGTCCATGCTGAAGATGCTTCCGTTGGAGTGACCTTGAACGATGCTCCTGCTCAAGGAAGGAAGGGCTCCTCCTCCTCCCAGAGAGAACTCGAAGATGTCGTTGTGGACGGTCCCGACGTAGAGTTTGTTCCCAGACGTCACCCCGCTGATGGATGACTTGTGCGACTTGAACGTGGGAGAGATGGCAGCTGACACCTCGTCCATGGAAACAGTCCAGACCTGCAGCAGAGTCAGCACGTGGGAAGGAGGAGAAGGAGAACAGGAGGGGGGGGAAGAGGAAGGAGGAGGTGGAGAGGAAGGAGTGGACGGAGGAAGGGGGAGATGGAGAGGAAGGAGTGGACGGAGGAAGGAGGAAGGAGGAAGGAGGAGAGGACGGCAGGGGAAAGGATGGGAGGGGAGGGAGGGGGTTGGAGAGGACGGGAGATGAAAGCTCGTATGAGAGCAAGAGGGAGACGGTGTCTTGGTATTACAGGCTGAATCCCCTTGACGGTATGAGGTTCCCAGCATCTGACTCGGCCGTCGAGGCCACCGGTGAAGAAGGAGGAAGGAGGAGAAGATGATTTAGTGGAAGCTGACAAGTGCAACACGTCAGTGGAACGAGGAGGCTCGGGAGGGGGGGGCGTACCGGCATGATGACACAGGAGGAGGATAGCTCCATCGTGGGCCCTCCTCTCCGTGTCTCTGAGCTTGATGACGGTTTCATCCCTCGCGTCTTGTGGCAGAGCGTCCTCCGCGTTCTCGTTGTAAGACCAGACCAGCAGAGATCCTTCGTCGTTGCCAACAACCAGGCAAGTCGTCGGCCGGCCGTCGTACCTCAGCACCATCGACAGGGCACAGCAGTGGATGGCCTTGTCTTTCTTGAACTGATCGCTGCTATGCACCAGCTCCATCTTGCTCTGCTTGATCTTCCACACCCGCAAGAACTCGATCCCGCAGCAGGCCACGTAGTCGTCCTTGGGGAAGAACGTCAGGGACATGGCCGGCTTGACGTGCGACCTCGTATGGAGCAACTTGGTCTCTTTCCTCCAGTCCCACAGGCACAGCATGTGGCTTTCCTCCCTCCCCAACGTCGCGAGGATGTTCCCGTCATGGGAGAAGGACATGCACAGCACGGGCCCCTGGTGGAACCCTTGCAACCGAGACTGCACCTCCTTGCTCTCGCTGTCCCAGATACAGATGTTGTTTAGCTTCCCCGCGTCGCTGCTGGCAACTACGAGGCCCCCGGGGTGTCCAACAAGGTGGATGACAGTATCCACATGCTCCGTGAAGTGTTCCTGGACGTGATTGACCGTGTCGAGGATCACACAGACGGAGGCGGCTGGGTAGACAAGCTTCCCCGTCTGGGTGAGAAGAAGGCAGCGGACTGACGACTCTCCGTTGTAGCCGTGGACGAGCTTCAGGGAAAGCTGACCCTCGGGGAGGGAGGACACAGCCGGCTGGTAGTTTGCTACCCGCGATCCCGCCTGATCAGACCAGTCGGGAGGAGGCTTGCTGCTGGACAGCCATGGGGGAATCTGCAACATCGTTCAGGAGGAGAGAAGCGAGGGGAAGGGGCGAAGGGGATACGAGAGGAGGAATGGAGAAAGCGAGGAAGGAGAGCAGAGGAGGAGAAAGATAGGAGACCGGAATGAAATCTTGGCTCGGATGATAGCTCTGCTCCTCCTCCTCTTCCTTCCCTCTCTCCCCGTAGATCCTCCCGTCGTACTCGTTCCTGATATGATCCAGGGAGACCAGCTTCTGCAGCTCGAAGGGGATGGAGAGGGAGTTCAGATCAAACTCCTCTGTCTCTGCCTGCACGTGCAACTCTTCGCTCCTCCGCACGGCCTTCTCTTTGCTCTCCTTCGAGACCTCGCTCCTCACCGGTGACTTGTGGACGTCGACCGAGTCACTGAGGACCTGAGAGTCCCTGATCTTCTCCTCCAGCTCCCTCATCGTCCTCTTGTCGTCATTTATCGTCATCTCCTTCTTCCTGTTCATCTCCCTTAGCGTCTTGATCTCCTCCACCTGCGTCTTGCTGATCCTCTTCAGCTCGTCGATCTGCCGTTCGATCTCCTGCAGCTCCGTGTCCAGCACGCTGTTCGCCTGCTTCACATGCCCGACCTTCTCCTCCACCAGAGCAGCCGTCAGTTGAGTCTTGGTCCTCAAGTTGTCAATCTGTGCTTTCGTATCCCATGTCGCGCTCTCCGTTTCCTGCCAGCCAAACAGTCAGCCCAGTCCTTGAAGAAGCACAACATGTCAGGAACCATGATCTGCTGCTTCAGACTCATGATCTCTCGCTTGCCGCCATAGGGAGCAATCTCGTATCTCTCAGGAACTGGCGACATCCTGTTCTTCGTGCTGGACTTCACTGTCGAGGAGACGCTCTTGCCGTCGCTGAAGTCTTCTCCCCCCTCCTCCTCGTCCAGCCCCAGCTCCTCCAGAGCCCCAGGACGAAGTTTGTACTTGAGGAGCTCAGCACGCTGCTGATTCTTCTGCGATGAGTTTCTCATTGTGCTGCTCCTCCCCATGAGCAGAACAGGCGGCACTTTCAGCTCACTCTGCACAGACGCCTTCTCCTCCACGCGGAAGGAGTAATGCCCGATCGCTGCTGGCTTCGGGGCACTTGAGACAGCAGTCCGCGGCCTCACCACGGGCATGATGGACGGCGGTCTTCGTGGAGGCGGCCCTGAGCACAGCAAGTCAACGACTTCCTCCTCCAGCGCCAGACACCACCTGCTTTTGCGGTGCCAGGGCGGGAGGCTCGCAGTGATATTCTTGCACCGGGGTTGTAGCCTAGAGAGCTGCGAGTCACTGACATGCTACATCATCTCATCATCGTTATTTTCGCATTTTCCGTTTTCTTGCACAAGACACGCGCGATCCCCGCTCGCTGCGCCACCTCCCCGTCCAACGCATCGCCCTCCCTAGAACAACCGCACCGCCTCTACCACTCCTCCTGCTCCTCCGGCCTGCCTTCCTCTTCCTCTACTCGTTCTGCCATGGGTCACTTGCATGTCGCTCACCTGCCACCGAGTCTGCTCTCCCGACCGTTGGCTCCATGCCGCCTCCGAACATGCCCTCCGTGTCCGCCCGCGCCCATGCCGCCATTGTGCTCCTCTCCTCAGGCCCGCCTCGTTTTCTTATAATGCGAGTTTGAAATTTCATTCAAACACGAAACTTCGGAAGCGGCCCGGCCGACGGGTGACTCCGAGGAAGTTCAGTGAACTTCCGAGAAGCCGGGCCGGCCGGGTCCGGGCCCCGCGGCGGCCCGCGGCTATACCGCAGTACTGAAGCTTCCTTCACTCAAAGTTAAGTTAAAAATCAGTACGAGGACAATCAGGAGAGTCGAGGAGGCTTGAACCTTTACGGGAGTCAAAGTTAACGAGGAGGCCGCGCCCTGACCCTGACACTGCCGGACAGGCCCAACGGCGATCCGTGACGCCGTGGGTGCCGTGCCCGGGTCCCGTGGACCGGACCGGACAGGCTAGGCTGCCGCAGTGCCTGGCCCGTGCCGGGCCCCGGGCCGGCCCGGCCCCCGCCGCCACCGGGCGGCGGTCCGACCTGGTGAGAGTCAGAGTCAGTCACAGTGTCGGACCGGACGGTACATATGATTGACTTTTTCTTTCTCCTGCCTTTCACGGGGACGCTCAACTTGCAAGGGCGCAGGCCGGCCCATGCAGACGCCGGAGGCTTTGGGGGGCGGTAGGGACGCGAACATGGACGCGAGCAGAGACGGGGGGCTCAACAGGAGCAGCAGACAGGGAGGACAGCCCGGGAGCGGGAGCAGGCAGCCTCAGGTAGTGTTCGACGGGCGAATACACCGAACCATGGAAGATACAAACATGTTGCGGGCTGATATCGACAGGATCTGCACGCGACTGCAGAGCATTGAGCAGATCCTAGCCACCGACAGCAAGCACCACGACATGCCAGACCCCAACTCTACAGGGCGGGGGGGACCGGATCATGATGACAGGCATGCGAAGCCAGCGCAGTTCAACTTCGGTAAGAACTACTGGTCCGATCGCGGATCTCTATTTGAGATCAACGAGCCATGGTTTGACCTCGGAGGCCTCAAGTTCAGCAGAGAGTTTCCCATGTACGTGGGAAAAGCGCCCCCGCTCCATACGATGCACTCGGACATGTGCATCAACTGCAGAGATCTGAGAGTCATCAACGCCAAGTTGACGGCGTCAATGCAATCGCTGACGTCCGACTACAACAAGGCCGGAGTATACATCCTTGACCTCGAAGATCGCGTGAGGAGAGTGTCCGAGAAGTCGCAAGAGCACGTTCACAAAGTCGTTGAGCTCTCGCGGGAGAAAGAGGAAAAGATTCTCCCTGCCCTACCTTGCGCTGATCGGTGGAAGTGCAGGCCAGGATAGTCGCCGCTGCAAGGGCGTTGCAGCTCAGAGCAGAGACAGCGGAAGAGTCAAGCAGGAAGGTAACTCTTGCTGGCTGACTACTTTGTTCCCCTGCTGAGGTCGAGCGCAAGGCCAAGATAATCTCAAGCGAGGCAGCGAAGTCACTGCAGGAGATCCGAGCGGTGGTCGAGTTCCTGGGGTCGTCGCTGACCATGTCCCAGAACCAGTTTCGAGAGGAGAGAGAGCATCGACTCAGGTCGCTGCCCGGCAGCCTTTGCGGTGCTCTGAAAGTTCCTTGAAGGCTGCAAGGGGAGCGTGCCATGAGGCAGCGAGAGCTACAAGATCTGCGCTCTACTGTAGCAGCGTATCGAAGGAACTCTTACCTGACCCACGGATATGTCTGACTTGCAGCTTGTCCTCTCCCCGGCTCCTGGTTTTGTTTGATTGTTTCCGTGATTTCGCGATTGCCTGCCATGCTCCTCTTCATCTTCGTGTACTACAACCTTCCCCACATCTCGCCAGAAAATTGGATTTACTTCGCACTAAAATACAGACATGGTACAAAGCATGAAGATTGCAGTCTCTGTCAAGACCGTCATAGGTATCTGTAGTGCATCTCGACCCCCATGTTTCCAAAGTTCAACACGTACAGGACGACGACCGCGACAATACTGCCAACCAACACCAGAAAGAAATTCGTGTGATCATCTAACTTAATTTCTCGGACCTCCTGACTTTGCTCTTTGCTCGTGGTCGATCCGTTACATTCACTTCTTGCCTGCCAACAAGCGTTCAGATCGTGTCCTGGTTCCCACGCAGCTCAATCACCGCAACCGCGCCAAGTTTGTAGACAGGCTCCTTCTTGGCCTTTAACGCAGAATTCTTGAAGAGATGGAACTTCATGCGATGAAAGATCCTCTTCCTCTGCTTCATTGTCACAGGGATGACATGGAACCAGAGCATTTTGTGCACCTTTCGAATCTGATTGAAATCGGTCTCTGCAGACTTCAACTTCTTGACAAGAAAATCACGAGCTCTGCAAAGGCGGGAGGTAAGCCGAACCAAATCAACCAAAAAGGGCTCGAGCCTGTTCGTGAAGTCTTGGGGCCGCGGGCTGTTGTGATCTCCCTTGAAGATGGTGATGTCCTTCTCGCCACCGTACTCGCGATATAATCTGTCGAGAGGCCAAGGCCCTGGCAGTCAGAGCAGGAGGGAGGTTGGAACCAGCAGGACAGCAAGCCACCTGTAGGAATGAGCTGCGTTGACTAGATGATCTTCGCTCGCATGCCCGAACAGGACTGGAGCTTGGCAGAGGGAGGCCACCTATCAGGTGTGAGTCCAGGAAGACATTAAAGCTGCAACGCTACACCTTGAGAAGGTCGAGAGTGTCGAGGTCAAATCCGGCCTGCGTCGAACAAGGATCAGCATGACTGAGCAAGGAGATGAAGCATCGAGAAGTTACCCGGGCCTCAACTGCCGAACGAACTACTTCCACAGCGCTGTCCGCCACAGTCTGATGACTTTCGATCAATGAGTTACCGCTGAGTTAAGAGTTGACCTCGTATGGGAGAAGCGGAATGTGCCCTGTGAACTTGCATGCATGATCCAAAAGCACCTGTCGAAGCCATCGGTGCCCTTGAAACTGACTGGTCACAATCGAACCTGTCTGAGGGAGCAGTAGCAGCTGTCCAAGACCATGCAAGAGATGAAAGCATAGTATCTATCGTCCGAAGCCACCAGCAGGGCAGTGGCTGCTCCCATGCTCCTACACCCAACGTCAAAACAGCAACACAGACGATCGCTGCTCTTGCCTTCCGTACAGTGCGACATTGGACACGCACGAATCATCCTATCAGCGCATGAGTGACGAGAGAACGAGAGAGGGGAAGAGGGGGAAGGGGGAGAGGAGGAAGGGAGAGACTTGCATCCACATCAACCTTGAGATAGTCCAAGATCGCCTCCAAGTCTTCTCTCTGTTGCAACTTGAGGTCAGCTGCCTCGGCCCCTCAGGTTATGGACGTGCACCTCCCGATACCCGAGCGTCACGATGTTTCCGTCGGATACACCGCATCCTGCAAAGTCGACGCTGCAGAGACGGTGAGCAGCCCCTCCTCGATCGTTCTTACACCTCACCTGAAGAAGGATATCCCTGTGCTCAGAAAGCTGGAAGGGTTACAATACTCAGTTCCGAGTCCATCCCTCCACTGCAATTACTCGTCTGCTAGCTCATCTGCTTCCAGACGGCAGCCGCTGTTGCCGTGCAGGTACACGACACAAGGGATGCTCTTCTTGGCTTGACCTGCTATCTGTTGACTACAAAATCGCATTCGAAATCATGCAAGCAAGGGATACCAGATTTCTTGCAAACCGGAAAGTAATGGCTGCAGGCAATACTCATCTGGCTTCTGTTCTTAAGCTGCTCTGGCTCGTCAGATACAGTGCGAATAAGGACAAAAGACGCGCTGCCTGGAAGTCCTTCCTGATGTACAGGTCTCCATTGAGCCAAAATGTTTCTGGCCCCAACTCCTCAATGGAGTAGCGCTTCCTGTTGTGGCGAAACGTTAAATGAATGGACCGATGGTTGGGTAAATCAGATACCGTGGAGGCCTGCATATGAGGTCTGCAAAGATTCCTTCCATATCTTTGATCATCAATACATATTGAGCGGCAGCGAATGCTTCGTCCCTTCACACGCCAGCATCAGTACCAAGGAAAAGTTTGCTCGGCAAGTGCCTTGAACTGTTACTTCATGTTACTTGGTTCTCTTTTCTGGTGTACATATGTTTTCCTACACGAAACCCAATTTGATTCCCAGTCAACTTACGCGCTCATTCTGCGATTCTCAAGAACTATCTACCTCGTTTCCCCTTTGTTGGCCCGCGAAAGCATCATGGTACCGGGGTCGAACATTTGAACTAAAACGATGGTGTCAACTGCGAGACTCACACCATGTCTGCAGACGCTACATCTTCATCTTCATCGTTTGCAACTACCATAGCACCCTTCTCCTCCTCCCTTGGCATCGCAGTCGCCTATCCTTGCCGCAGCCTCACTTGCATGAAAGTATCTTCATGAATAATAATCTTTTTCGGTGGTGGGTACTTTTCAAAATGTTTATTTGTAGTAGTTATCGCAGATACCGCAATTGCTGGATATAATTATCGCTCAATATTTTCTCATATAATACTTTTCGTAGTTTTCAGTACAAATAATTTAGAGTGAAAATGAATTAGAGTACCTACCCCCATTTCTCATCGTGAGGGACCCCGTTGAGGTCCACAACCTTGCACCCTATTATTCTCAATCACCCCTGACCCCACTATAATTACCACCCACCCCACATATTTCCTACTCATAAGTGTGATCAGAAGGGGTTCCGCACTGGGATCCCAAGGGAAGCGAACTTGAGGACCCCCTTCTCTGAAAGTCGTAAGGGGGGTACTCACCCTTTACAGGGAAGATAATAATCACTCATCAGTGAATCCAGGTGCCCTACTCAGTGTCAGTGGGACCGGCGGCCGGCCGGGCCGGCCGGCCCGGCGGCCCGCCGCATTGTCACTGATCGGATAACGACTCGGTGTCGGACCGGACTCTCAGCCTCCGTCACGGTGAACTCAGCGGAACTTTCAAACCAACTGAGTGAGCTCTCAGGCTCTACTGACTCGCCAGACTGAAAGCCTGCGCCGGGCAGGCCCGAGGTCAACTCAGTGACTCCAGCAGCTAGCCTACCGGTGAGCCTCGGAGTTTAACTTGTCACAACTTGCTCAGCGACAACGATTGCTGCCAGGAACTTCGGAACTTGTTCCGAAAACCTGCCCGGGCGCACACAGGCTGACCATCATGACTAGCTTGGGCGGTTTGCACTCAGTGACTGCCGTCATGCTCTCGAGGATCGGAGGCTCCCTGCAGTGCTAGCAGGCTCCTAGCCTCCGTCACCCTCCGAGGCTCTGCTGTCCTCTCGTCTCCGATGATCCTCTCTCCGCACACCCTCACCCTCTGCACATCATGGCATCGTCCAGATGCTTCATGGCCTCAACTCCAGTTTGGCTCAGTGTACTCTCCCATACGACTGGTCTCAGATACTCGAAAGAGAGGAGCTGAGTAGAATTCCAAGGGGAGGCTTGGACCGTTTGATGCTGCGTGGCAGGTATCTTCAGTTCTTGTCTTCTGTGACTTGTTGTTTGTCTGACAAGCTTGGTGAAGGTTTGAGTCGTGAGTTTCTGATTATGACAACCGCGGCAAAGAGCAAGATGGAGAGGCCATGTGCTTCATCTTAGACGAGGTGAGGCGAGTCAAGCGCTGCAGCTGACGAGTCAGGACTCCGGGAGGATGTGGGAAGGTCAGCTTATCTTTCTAGTCTTGAATGTTGGTCGAGAACGCCTGGCCGGGTTGGATAAATCATTAAACGACTAAGCGAGTGTTCAAGGCTTTGTCGCGAGGAGCAAGCATTTGTAGGCGGGGAGGAGGAGGAGGAGGAGGAGAAGTGGCAGCAGCGCCAGCAGGAGCAGTGGAAAATGTACATAATAGACAAAAGATAATTTACACAAGAAAAACCTCACGCACTCTCTACTTCGAGTCTACTGCAACAAAATCAATGCTGCTCTGATCTGATATACACTTCCACTGATGAACCATTTGACAGTCTCAGATAGAAACTTTTGTGGTGAGGACTCAGTTATCAGAGATCAGTGCTGCCTTGAACTTCTGCAACATCAACCGTTGTCACTTCCTCCTCAACCTCATCCTCATCCTCATCCTCATCCTCATCCTCATCCTCATCCTCATCCTCGTCCTTCTCCTCAGCGTTCTTGTCGTCCTAAGTGATATTCGCCCTCAGGATCTTCTACCTCCTATACTCTTCAACACATATCGGGAGCTGACAGCGCCTTGTGACAGCTCTTTGCTACTCGGCTGACTTGGAGGATTCTGTGCTGATCTTACCAAGAGCGGATATTGACGAGATCACGTTTATATATTATAGAACAAGAATAACCTACATGTCTGCGTGAATCAAACAGAACAATCACCCCCTTGTCGACGATTCCCCCCTCAGCCCTTGCACAAGCTCCTCATGCGATCAGCTTCATGTCCTTGCTCGTCGAGAACCTCTTCACCAGCTGATCCTTGCGCTCTTTGTTCTCCTCCTCGCTCAGGTCGATGGGGTTCCCCTCGATCGCCAGCCTTCGGATGCTCGTGAGCTGGTCCACAAGGAAGCTGGGGATGGACTTGATCTGATTGTCAGACAGGGTGAGGATCGTCAGTGAGGTTAGCTTGCTCATTTCATCAGGGACTTGGGTGAAATTGTTCTTCGAGATGTCCAGGGTCTTGATGCTCACGTCGAACAGCTCCCCCGGCAGATTGCAGAGAGAGTTCTGACCGAGCATCACCTTCCAGAGTTGGGTCAGGCCCCCCAGCCTGGGAGGCAGCGCTTCCAGCCGGTTGTTGGAGGCTTCGAAGATCTGTAGGTTGCCCCACTTCTCAAGGTTCTCAGGGAAGCTCGTCAGCCGGTTCCTCGACACATTGATCTCCTCCAAGTCCTCGTAGTCTGCGAGCTGAGGGAGGCTGTCGAGTTGGTTCCTGTAGAGCTCGAGCTTCTTGATCTTGCTGAGCTTCTCCAGCGTCGGCAGGAGGACGATGTTGTTGTCGAAAGCCGCCAGCCTCTGCAGGTTTGTCAGCCCGTCCAGGCTCGGGAGCGTCTTGAGCTTGTTGGAAGCCACGTTGAGCTCTATCAGGCTCGACAAAGTGCCGACACAACCCGGGATCTTGATCAACTTGTTGTTGAAGACGTTGAGCTCCTCTAGCTCCTGCAGGTCCCCAAGAGACGCCGGCAGCGAAGTGATCTCGTTCTGGTACATGAGCAGCTTCCTCAGCCTCGGGAAGAACCGCCCAATGTCCTCGGGCAGCGTCTTGATCTTGTTGTCGTTGAGGTCGAGCTCGGTGAGAGCAGCGAAGCAAGCGACGTTGGAGGGGAGTTCGGAAAGGAAGTTCTCGCTGCAGTTGAGGACTTCAAGGTTCTTGAGGCTGAAAACAGCTACGGGCAGGTCCGAGAGTTTGTTCTTTCCTACGTTCAGGCTCTTCACAGAACGAGAAGCCAGGCTGGAGATCTCGGCTCCGAGGTTCTTCTGGTCTTGGGCAGAGAGGTCTACATCACCATTGAAAGATTCCTCAACTGCGAAGCTCGAGTCAGCAACATGGCTTCAGGCATGCAGATCAACTACCTTGACTTGCTCCACAACCCATCTTGAATCAGTGGATATGGGAAAGAGGGTAACCTGTATAGGAAGGGAAATGGTTGTAGGACAGGAAAGGGGGAGACCAGATGCTCGGGCGGGTGAGTGAGTGAGGGACGAGAGAGAACAGAGAGTAGGGCAAGAGAGTCGGGGGGGGGCGGGAGGACTGTAGGAGGGGAAGGAGGAGGGGGAGGGAGAGGGATGGCTGGTGCGGGATACAGGGGCGGAAGAGGGAAGGGTAGGGTTCAGATGGGAGGTCAATAGGTGAGCACGATACGGGCTCCCATATTTAATTGTCACTTTTAACTTGATAGCAATTGATATTCGGAATATATTATTATAATATATAGTTTAATGCTCAAATTTGCCTTTTGACGTGTAGTAAACGGATTGGGAAATGCTGGCCTCCTTTGCTCCTTCGGCGAACCCGGTCTATATATAATTTTAGAAGAAGGCCCGGTACAAAAGTACCAATTTTATATTGATGTACCTTTCAATATAAAAGTGTTTTAGACCCCTCGCCGCACTTTGACGGCACCACGGAATGCGGCCCTGGAAACAAAAACTCAGTACCCTTTTAAAAGCTCCCACTTTGACCAAGACGATTGTACCAAGTGCACATATGGGGTACGAAAATTTTATATTAAATGGTACGTGCAGGTGCCAGAAGCACTTTGAATAATACCTTTATTGGTGACTGTCGTATTATCGAGTCATTTAATAATATCGTCAGAATATCCTGCATTTTAAAAAGACATTTTAAATTATTTTAAATCGCCATTTCCTTGGTACACTTGTATCGCCTTCCCCTAGCAGACAAAAGAAATTAAAACTATTATTGCTATTCTATTGTTATAAAAAAGTTTGTGGCCCGAGAAAAGGCGCCAAGAAAAGTTTTGATGGCGGCAGTAGCGAGCGGGTGGAGCGCTGGAGATGAGCGGGAGCTCATGAACAGCATCATGGCAATCATGGGAGGCAAGGACGAAAAGCCGAAGAAGAAAGCTTCTTCTATGGAAGGACAATCTATTTGGCAGGCGCCGACAAAAGGGAGGAAGCGCAAGTCCGATAGCTTGTGCAGCAGTCCACTCGAGATGGTTGAATCAGACAATATCCGATGTGATTGGCCGGATGATGCAAGTGGATTTGCCAGCTTGCTGAAAGAAGGTATTCATGATCATTATTTTTGATGTGCGGATGTGCTGATTGCCTTTCTTTCTCACTTTGTTATGTGAACACGCAGACTTGGCGCGTGAAGCTGCTAGAAAGAAGAGAGCATTCAAGAAACGATTTGACAGCCAACAAGCAAAAATTGAAGAGCTTATAAGCCAGGAGTTGACTTCGTTTCAACACAATCTGGGAATCCTGAAAAAGAATTGCGTTGAAGAAGTTGCGCAGATGAAGGAAAGGCAGACTGTATCTCAACAAGAGTGCGACAAATCTTTCAAGAGTTTCAATAAGAAGAAGTCAGAGATCAAACGTCAACTAACGATGTTGAAAGAGGAAGAAGAAAAGCTGATTCGCAAATCGAAATCGGAGATCGAAAACATCAAAAAAGAAATCCAAGATCAAATCGTGGTATGTTACTTCGAAAACCTGAATTGCCAACATGAGCCTTGCGAGTAGATTTACAGGCAGCGATGGCAGCAAATGGAAGAAGATCATAAGAAGCTGGAGGCAGACCTAGAGAAAACTCTAGCCGAAAAACAGAAGCTTGTTCACATCATCACCACCAAGATGCAACAAATCCGTGCTTGACGAATCAATGACGACCCTCGTAGAAAGGAAGAATTCATTCTTTTTTTGCTTTGATTTCATTCTAGAACCAAAAAAAAATCGAATGGTTTGCGACTAAAGAGTTATTCTTTCTCACCCAAAAGAGATTTTTTGCATGTTTGCGCACCATCGCAAAAGTCGATATATTTCCCCAGAAATTGTCGGCACAACAGATTCTTCCGATTCTATTCGAAGTGAGCTATAGGAAAGCGTTCCTTCGGAGATTTGAGTTTGTTTGCTTTTTCTATCTTCTTTAGTAATTCTGGCAGAGTTCCGATGGGGTCAATCACCTGGGGGGGGGAGAGGTGGGGTGTCAAGATCATTTCATTCTCTCCCTCAGACCCTCACCGGCCGGAGTCGCTTAGCGACAGCTATGGCAGCTTTGGTATCAAGACCCCCAAAGTGCATTAACAATGCACACCCTGCCACGACAAGAAAATTCAGATGAAGAGATCAACGGCGATAGAAGATGGTAAACAAAACAAAACCATCTCCGCAAGAAATGGTGTTCAGAGTAAACCAAGGGTTGAATGATATCATTCCCGATCTCCCTCCTCACCTGTTGTCCCGGCTCTGTGCGCGCCGGCTAAGCAGTGAATCAAAACCTGAGGAACAAACATGTCATGAGATGAGCTACAACACCCACTTGCGAGGACACATGAGCACAAGGAACAGTCGCGGACAGCAGTGACTTTTCTCACATTCTTCCCCGCAGCAAGAGCTTCGCCAACAAACGCAAAAACGCTCTGTGTGAATTCTATGACAGAATCTGTATCATCCTTGACATGCCTCCACCTAAACATCAGCGTTACAAGGAAATATCAAGTAAGACTTCTCAGAAACGAACGACCAGCTGGCAATGTCGAAGCGATAATACGATATGCTAGCTGCATGCGCAATCAACAGTCAGAGGATGACAATTTCATCTGCTGCTCTTACAAGATTTTTGATGATAAAGTGGCATCTGCATGAAATCCCAGTTAACACCCACAATTTCAAGATCAGAGAAAGCAATTACATTGTCTGTACAGTTGACAACGTGCGATATGTTCTTGTTCTTCAAAATGTCTGTTGCATTCAATCGATCAAACCCCATCATCCTCCCATACTTCACAAAAACATCTCACCCATGTTGCTAGCTGCTTCAACGTTTCCAACATAAATTGTTCCACCAGTCCTTGGATGCTTCCTGTAGGAAAGCGAATCAGTTCACCTACAACACGCCATACAGGAACATCACCAGATCGGATCGCAAGAATTGTATCTACTAGAGCTTCCCTCCTGTGCCACAGTGCCGGTTAGGGTGTACGACTCTACTTGTTCCACTTCCTCCATTCCCACCTTCCCCAGACCCAAAGAAGCGAAGATCTTCTGAGCTTCTTCATCGAAGTCCGGGTCCTTCTTGTTGTTCACAGGAGATGAGTTGCTTGTTAGCGCCATCCTGCTTGTGGAATGTCAGCGAATCCTTTCAAGGCGAGCACACAATTAACGTACTTGGCGTTCCTGCCTGAACTTCCAAGCCAAGCGAAAGATGAGAGGGGCATGCTACGGCAATGGTAAAATCTGCAGAGTAAACAAGGTCAAACTTCACAATGCAACCCCTCCATGCTCCTTGAGCAGCCAAGAGGCTCCTCCAAAACTCTCCATTCCCTGTACACTCCCCAGGACATGTGTGATTGGGACAACGCAATGAGAAAGATGCTTTCATTCCCACAACTCGTTTCTGTGAGAGAACGATCCTAAGGCCGAGTCTATCTAGTGGCTAAGGCCGAGTCTATCTAGTGGTCATCGGGATAGTACCATGAGAAGGTTCGAGAAAATGCTTCCCTAGAAACTTCTTGACATTTAAACTTTGTTCAGATCAATTCAACGTCTTGCATTTCTCGTCTTCGCCCTTGCCCTGCCCCTCGTCCTCGTCCTTCTCTCTTTTCGACCATGCACTTGTACATATCCGATCATATCCGTCGCTTTCGTATCGATGCACAGCATTTTCTCTCTCTGCTATCCATCTTCCATCTCCCTTCCCGACCACCCCACACAAGCACAGGCGCTGCTCGGAGACATTGAAATCGAGTCAGGCAATGAGCATGCAGCAGGAAGGCAACACAGCTTGTTCCCTCTCATCGCATGTCCTACTTCTTCGTTGCATCCTCTCCCTCCCTCCAGCTGACCCAGCCATAACTACTCGCAGCCCCTATCGCCATTGAACCATACTGAAAGAATCAATCAATTCCAGCAGAGTTTAGTCATTTCTCATACTAAATTTCAGTCAAGTAGGGAATGGGTGGGTATTTTGAAATTTTTACAAATTTGATTGACTCCTTGTGCAAATAGTACCATGGGCGACCTACCCCACCCTAATAGAATCCAATAACCCCCTTCAGGAAAATAACCCACCTTCATAGACTAGGAAATTTATCACCCTACCCTCTAATATACAGATTTATATCATATTGAGTACCCATCATTTTCCATTGCACTACATTACCCTACCCCTCAATTGTGCTTCCCGACCCTACCCCTACCCTTTGACAGACAAACGGTACCTCAACCAGTCAGAACCTTCTTTTGTGTACTGTCTACCCCACCCCCTCAGCGAGGTTAACCCATCCTCCCACCCCTTCACATACTACCCTACCCTTACCCGCTATATTGCCCCCCCAAGATGATTCCTTTCGAACCCCTCTTTGACAACCCCCACCCTCCCAGAGCTGATTTCCTCACCCGTCCACTAGATGACTTATATATATAGATATATATTTTCACATTTCGTGTTTCTTGGGAAATATTAGTTCCATAATTTGAATTTTCAGCATTCCAAATCGAGTTCAAGTTTTAATTCTGAGATTTTAGTCTCAACTTCACGGTCGAACTTTCAAGTGGAGGCCGTGATACCTACTCGGATCCGATCATCACCGTCTAGTACGCGGCCGTCGCTTGCGTGGTTGGAGTGCCGGTTTTCGCTGCCTCCTTCGTTTCCTAGTATTTTATTGAGGCGGGTTTGTTGGCTCTATCCTCCCCCTCCTTTGTTTGCTCCGCCGGCGGCCGGGTTCAACGTTTTGTCCTTCTTTTTCAGTCCGAATAATAAAGAGTACGCCAGTGACGTGAGTAACCTATCAACTTGGCAAGTAGGGAACTTCCCGGCGATGACAAAACTTGACGAAAGTGAACGGTCGGATCAGGCTGACTCGGCCCGACCGTACCGTAGTACGGTACACGGTACTGAACCCGGCCGCGTTGCCAAGTTGAACTTGACCGGGGTTCACTCCCGGAGTCCGAGACCGTCGGACGGCGACCCGCCAGTCCGTCACTGTCAGACGGTGCACCGTCACCAAGTCGGACTCCCGGCGAGTGACGCTGGGGGGCCCGCGGCCTGCCGCAGTGCGGCAGTGCGGCGGCGGCCCCGGCGGCAACTTCCGAGTCCCCGGCCGCCCGGCTCAGCCGGCGGCGTTCGGCGCCGCGGCGGGCAAGTTGCTGAGGCCGCCGGAGCCTCGTCGGAGCCTCGTCATCGTGGCAAGGTGGCCCCCGCGGCGGCGCGCCCGGCCCGCCGGCCCGCCGGAGACCGTACGGTAGGCTAACGGTTTAGCGCCCGAAGAAATGGAGAGTCACCGCGGTGGGCCGGGGGCGCGGGTACATACCCTGACTCGGACTCCGGGACTCGGGAGGCTCGGCGCGGTCGAGTCCGACTCGTACCAGGCTAGGCCGGGCCGTGCGGCAGCCGGGCGGTCACCTAGGCTACTCAGCCACGGTGTGCCAACCGTGACTGAGTGAGCCGCTCGGAAAACCGGCCCGGTTGCCTGACTCAGTGACGGTCGATCATCGGATGCCAGGGAACCGTCACGGCGTTGAACCGTTACCGTGAAGTCAAGTTTAGTCACTGGCTGCCAGAGTGTGGCCCCGGCCCGGCCGGTGGCACGGTGGGAACTTCCAAAGACGGTCTCGGAGTGCCCGGCACCCGGCCCCAGGCGCAGTGTGGCAGCACGCGGCCCACACTGATCGTCGGTGACGGACTGGGGGAGGGGACCCATAATTTGGCTCGGAAGGGACCCATAATTTAGCACTTGCCGCGCGCATTTCATAAAGTTTAAAGCAGTCACATGATTCATTTCGCTTACCCTCAAACCTTCATCTCTGGGCCTGAATCTCTTCCTTCGTAACCGGAGCAGATCCCATATGTCCTAGCCAGTCTCCCCCAAGAGTGTTGGGCGAGAGCTCTCGCTCTGGAGAAATTCCTACACGATATGAAGGCTCGATCTTGCCGGCTTCGACCTGAACGACACAGCAGGGTCAGCTTCTCGCCGCCGATCGCGCTCTCTTCTCATCGACCTTCCAGTCACCAGACTTTGAGTTGGTGGCCTCGTTAACCTTCACTCCTCTATCACATAGAGCAGACGGACTCCCCTCAACGCAGTTCTAACAAGGGAAACATCAGGAAAGTTCAAGCCCGCATGTACTCACTGACCTCGGTATAAGTCCCAGGAACGTTGTTCGAGCCCTCTGCAGATGCACCCAGCTTCTGCAAACCAAACTGACGGTTGCGGAGAGACTCTTTCATCTTTTGCAGGCGGACTGCCTCAGATGGATCGAAGGGATCACCTCCAACATTTACACCCAGCCTTGCGAGCTTGAAGTTGTCTGCTAACTGCGTGAAGGTCGGCGACGATGACAACCCAGCTTTTTGTGACAGCCCGATGCGCTTTGACTTGGCATCCGCAGCTTCAAGACTTGCAGCTGCTCTGTACAGCCCTCCTCTACGCTCGTAGCTGTCCTCGGCCGCAGGGGAGTAGGGGATGCCGAATGTACCTGTGTGAGAAGCATAATATCGGTTCAGGTAGTCTTGGTAAGCTGCTTGCTCGTCGAATTCATCTTGATCGGGGTTATAGTAGTAGTCAGCATGCTCCTGTGTATCGAACGGACCGTATCCATACGCTGCTCGTCTCCATGCCGCGTCTCTAGCAGCCCAGTCGTTGTAACTCCATGGATCTGTACACGGAGTCAAATCAAACAGGAGCTGTAGAACACGGATCAAGAACTTGGGGAGAGGCACAACACAGGGAGCATGTAGAGAGGCAAGAAAATCAAACCTTGCGCATCCCAGTCCGCAACGTTGTTCCAATAATCGCTCCTGCCCTGCTCGTAGCCATAGGGATCCCAGTAGTTGCCATAGTAATCATCATAGTATCCTCCCCAGTAGGTTCCATATAGAGCAGTCTGTTTGGCTCCCTTGGCAATCAGGAGGACAGCACCAACAGCGGCAAGGAAAGCAATCCCAGCAAGCAAAATCCCTCGTCCCCTCCCGCCTCCCTCTCGCCGCACCCCAAGCATGAAACCCAAATCCCAAGGGTCGCCTATGGGGTTATCATCATTCGGGCCGGTACCGGGGTGGTGGGGGAGGGGACACATTTCACTGAGACGCTGTTCACTTATAACGGCCCAGCTTCATTATTTACTCAAAGTTAAGTTAAAGATAAGTACGAGGACAATCAGGAGACGTCCTCCAATTCGATGACCCCTACTTCGGTGAAAAACTGCAGAGGAAAGTAGGGGTAGTGGAACAATATACGAAGGGGTACCCCACCACCAATTCTACTCTTCGACTACGGGTGGGGAAATTCTACCCCCCCACCGAGTGTAAAGTAAACCTGAAACCCAAGAGTACCCCTCTTTTATAGTCTATTTGAAGCGAAGTAGGGGGTAGGGTGTATTGACAGGGGGAATAGGAGGGGATGGCCCCAAAGCGAAGCCGTTGACGATGCCGAATGGCAGATAGGAGGGGAGGGAGGAGGATGAAGGATGAGGAGGGGAAGGAAAGGTGACAATGAAGGTGAAGGAGAATTAGATGGAAGAATGTTGCGAGGGCAGAGCGCTTCCAAGAAATGCAGGGAGATTGCATGGTCAGGTGGACAGATGCGGTTCGGGACATTTCGGAACTCAGACAGAGAGAAAGAGATATGGGAACACATAGATGCGTCAAACAAGTTTAAAATCAAAGACAGGGACGTTCATGTTCAGCGAGGTATAGTCAAACGCCTGTAAGACAAGTAAAGAAAGAGTGGAGTGACATGCTTGTATGGGGTTATTTCCTTCCAGTAACACTCCTTCTTGGCAGGGTTGCGGCACAAATTCTGAAGATGTCTACGATGCTGGCTTGCAATCTTCCTGGACAGCTCCATGCTGGACTGGTAGCACATCCGAAGAGGAGCAGGACATTGTCCGCAAAGCGCCATGAAGCATTGCTCGCACGTTCAAGATTCTGGCGCGAGGTTCAGCGTGAAAAGAAAATGGAGACGGTACGGGCTTCACTGCTACCGCAGTTTGTCTGACGCTTTCACGTTGAAACAGCTCATGGCAAAATACGATAAGAGCAAAACAGGCAATCTGAATATGCAGGAATTAGGCGACTTCTTGCAAGATGCTGCAAAAGGAGTTAGGCCGTCAGACGAGGTGAGAGAACGATGGCGATGAAGACAGTCCCATGCTGCTGATGTCTTTTTCTTTTTGCTCTCATAGGAGATAAACTTTGTGATGAGGAGCACGCAATCTAAGGACGGAGGAGTCGGAGATGCCATAACCAAATCTCAGGTACCTCCAGGACATGCTTGCTGGCACGGACTTGTCAGCTAACTGCAGCATCTGCCGCAGATCATGATCGCACTGGATGTATGGAGGCATTACGAGAAGACCAAACCGGAGATAGAGACGTACTTCAAGTGGGGAACTGACCGTCAATAATGTTGTTCTTGACCAGTTCATGGCAGGAAGTATGATACCAACAATTCAGGGATGTTAGAATTCGACCAGGCAGACAGTCGTCAAGTTGTGTCCTTGTGCTCCTGAGCCATTCTCTTGCAGCTGAAGAATCTCCTGACGGAACTCAATGACGGAATTCCACCTCCTGACGACGAGGTCGGGCTCTCGACCTTGCGATGGCTCCGTGCTGTGATGAGAGGTACAGGTTAGGTGGATCGAATCGAACGCAGACGGATCGTTGAAAGGTCAATGTCCTTCAGCTCTCCTTTCTTTGGCGTTCTGACTCCATATACGCCAGGTGTCCAGAAGACTGGAGGCATCAACAAGACGGAGCTGATGGGAGCCATAGCGTTGTGGTAAGGGCGATCGATGAGTCTCATGTTTGTCAGGCTGAGGAGATGTAAAGGTATACTCACATCGAAGAGGCACAAACGAAGACGACAACCAGCAGTTGTTGTGTGATACAGTGATGTACAAGATATCAGGCTTCTGAGGAGCAGAAGCGCATTTTTGGAGTTGGCTCAGCCACTTTCTACATGAAAGGGATTTCCCATGCAGTTTTCCCCCCTTTCCGATTTTTGGTGGTCACAGAAGAACGTTAACGATGAAAGCAGTCTACTATCCGGAAAGTAGGCATCAGCAACAAGTCATTCAATTCATTCAATCTTTAACTTTAAATCTTACTGAGTTATGACTGCTTTCCCATTATCTTGTGGTACTGTGACAGGAGGAAGCGATCACCCTTCAACATCTTCACAAGTTTCCACGTCAGCATGATGAACATCAGCACAGTCTTGATGATTAGCGGGACCTGATCGTTCACACGACGTCACAAGAGCGTCCATCTCCTCCCCTCCCCCGCTTCCCCCCACCCTCCCCAAAACTGATTCTCCTTCTCCTCCCTCCTTCTCCTTCTCCTTCTCCTCCCCTCCTTCTCCTTCTCCTTCTCCTTCTCCTTCTCCTTCTCCTTCTCCACGTCCTCGTCCTCACCCAACCACCCACCCACTCACCCTGTACTTCTTCCACAGCTGACACTCCTGTTGCACGGCTTGCATCAGGTTGTGGATGTCAGCTCCTTGTGTATGTACGATCGCCTCATACGAGGCAGAAGCAGCGTTGATGAAGTAAGCATACCACAACTCGTCGATGCAGTCTCCAAATTGCGGGATAGCCACGATCCCTTGCTCCCACACGTTGTTGACAACCACCAGCGACTGCACGAAGCTGTGGACGAGCAGCCCGTGCACGACATGTCGCATCAGCCTCGTGGTGTTCATGAACGTGTCCTCATCCTTCTGCGTGAACTCATACTCAGGCCTCATGGAGAACGTCCGCTGTAGGACAACAAGTGGGTTTGTACCCTTCCTTCCAGACTTGTCGTCCAGATGAATGTGAGATTTCAGATGGACATGTTCTGCCCCTCCGTCTCCTCCCCGACATGCAGCAAGTGGGATGAACTCGGTACTTGCAAACCCTGTCGCAGCGTGCTTACATGGCTGCAAGCCCATGGATGGCGGCCGATCCTTGGAAGGGACATTCATTTTCAAATTAGGGCGCCTGTGAGTCGCCAGACCATGTCCGTGGCTAACAGGATCCTCAATCATCATGGTTTCAATCCTTGGAATCCCTTCTACTAGCACTATCATCATCATCATCAACAACAACAACATCGCCACCGCCATTGTCGCACCCCCAGCCCCCCTCGACTTCATTTTCGATGTCCGATCTTCCGATTTCTGTCAATGATGACCCCTACCCCCTGTTACTCTCACCCTTCCCAGTATCACCCCCCTAATTCATATTGAAGTACCCTCCCTTTGGTGGACCCTACCACCACTTTGGATTAGATGCGAATGGCACCATGGCGGGAGTGTTGC